CAGCTCCAGTCGCAATAGAACCTGCTGCTGCAGCAGCAGAAGCAGCTCCAGTCGCAATAGAACCTGCTGCTGCAGCAGAGGAAGCAGCTCCAGTCATAGAAGAACCCGCTTTAGTAGCAGTGGAATCTGCTCCAGTTGCAGAGGAACCAGCTGCAGCAGCAGTGGAAACAGCTCCAGTAGTTGAAGAACCAGTTGTAATAGCAACTGCCCCAGCAGCAGAAAAAATGGTTCTGGCAGTGGAAGAGTCAGCCCCAGTAGAGCTCCCAGAGGCCGTCACAGCAGCAGCAGAGGAACCTGTGCAAAGTGAACCTGAACCTGAACCTGCAGCTGCACCTGCACCTGAAGTCCTACCTGTAGAAGAACCGGCTGCAGTTGTGGAATCTGTGCCAGAAATAGAGGTTGTTCCTGTCATCACAGAGGAAGCACCAAAGGAACAAGAGCCAGAAGCCATCCCAGAGACTGTTACTGAGCCTGAAGTGACTGTGGAGGAGACAGTGGTGCCTGCTGCTGTCCTTGAACCTGAGCCAGTGGCTGAACCAGCTGCAGTATTGGAGCAAGCCCAAGAACCAGAGAAAATCCTAGAGCCAGAGCCAGTGAAAGCTCCCGAGCTGGAACCCGAACCAGAGCAAGCCCCGGCTCCAGAGAAATTACCTGAACAAGAGGTAGAGCAGGAACCAGAGCCAGAGCTAGAACAATCACCAGAGCCTGCAGAACCAGAGAAAGTACTGCAACCAGAGCCTGAGCAAGAGGCTCAACCAGTGGAACCAGCAGCAGAGGAACAAGTAGAAGAAGCTGAGCCAGAACCGATCGTAGCCTCTCAGACTGTGGAGGTAGAAGTACCTGAGATCTTGGAGACTGCAGCAGAGGAGATCACCGCAGCTGAGCCACAAGCACCAGAACCCATCCCTGAGATCTTCATCTCAGAGTCAGTATCTGCCAGCGATATCACCGCTGAGTCTGAAAAGGTCGCTGAAGCCTCTGCGGAAGAGGTGCCTAGCCCGAAAGAGGTCGAAAGCAAGATGGAGAATGGAGATCTAGAGAGCCCTTCTGTTGCAGAGGATGCGGCAGAAGTAGTTGCAATTCCAGCTGTGAATGGAGAGTGCACAGATTCCGCTACCACTACTGTCACGCCGACAAAGGAGTGTGTTAATGGAAGTGATGAGCCAGAGGAGATCCCTATTAAGGAGAAGAGTGACTTTGATCTGAAAAAGGACATGAACCTGAGCGGGGATGTCCAGGAAGTTCCCGACGCAGTTCCCGACATGGTGGAGGGTCTTGGCACCGAGGTCACCCAAGCGGTCTGATGAAATGTCGCCTTTCAAGTCAATGTGAATTCAGTTTTAATCCTCCGATGGTGCGGAAGAGTCATCAAGGTATCACAAACACAGCTAGGCTTTCTGAAATGCCGTAACCATCGCAATGTCTATAGTGGTAACTCAGGCAAAAGGATGTTTCCTTTGAGTGACCGAAAACGAAATGCAACCACTTTAAGGTTAAAAGAGAGAGAGGGAGGTAGAGAGAGGTAGAGAGACAGAGGGAGAGATAGAGATTGAGATGGAAGTGCAGACTTTGAGTTTGGGATTTGAAGGACGAGTAAAGACAGACGGTGAAACTTTGACAGCAGAGTGAATATACTGGACAGTAACGATGATATTAATGAATGAAATGAATAAATCTGTGTTTGTGTGTGAGCCCAGTGAATATTACAAAGTGGTTTATCGGAACAGCATTCATTATTATTATTAGTATATTATCTGATTTAGAATTTCATATATCCTTTCTATTACTACACGGAGAGACATGACAAAAAATGTTTTTGGCCT